GCGCCCCAGCCCCGCCAGGCACCGACGGCACACCAGGGCCGCCGTTTCAGCCCCCCGGCCTCCCCCTCTTCTTGGGGAAGCGGAAAAAAACCCGGCGTATTTGGCCCTTTCCTCCAGAAACTTGCTGCCCAGCACCGAGAGCTGCTGCCAGGCTGAGTGTTTCCAAAGACGCTGGTCACAGAGCAACTCACAGAAACATGACGGGGAATAAAAAACAAATTGGCACAGCAACTAACGGCCCAGCGGCAGCAACTCAACCCTTCTCGGTACCCCGCGCGCGGGCTTAGAAACGCGGCCAGCACCTGGGAAGCTGCACGTTTTACAAGCACCTTTCTTAGGCAACTCAGAAGGGAGCACGAGCAGATATCAAGAGCTTACACGTTTTACAAGAAATACTGGTAACCCCATGGTACTTCTGTGTCTGTGGGATCTGGTGGGATTTATTCCAGTTTTGGCTTTTCTGACAGGATATAGCGTTTTATTACAAAGGCACAGGTATCAAATAAAACCAGCAACATTCTCTTAATTAAATATCCCAATAAAAAATTAATGCTCAATTTAGGCTTTATGTATTCCTCCCTTATTAAGAGACTGGTAATTTTTTTCCTCTGGAAAGGTTTTAGTGCAGTGATTATATAGCAACAGAAAAATAAACTAAAAAAGGCACAAACTGTTTTGCGTGTGTTTTTTTTTCTTCTTTCACTTTTGCTAACGCTTTTATATTTTGTCTATTTTACTCAGGTTAATAAATCACCGAAAGCAGCAAGAAAATATTCTGCCAATTTCTGTACACTATACAAAAACCCCTACCAACAGTACATTATTTCAGCTTCAGGAGAAATGTACAGCATAGAAAGACTTTCAAAAATATAGTGCCCCATAAAGCGGTTTTGCTAATTAAGCGCGCGGTCTCTTGCTACAGCGCCCTTCGCCATCCTCGTTCTTCCCCTTATTGCTGGGACGACGGGCTAGGGAGGCTGGAGGAGCCCGGGTCCCGCAGGGGGCGGGAGCGCGGCCGGGGGCTCCCGGGAACGGGCCG